ATAGGATATAATTGTTAAAATATAAGAATTATGAGAGCCAAGTTTACGATGAGTATATAAATTATCAAAATTTAGCTGGAGAAATCATTATTTACAGTGGTTCAAATGGCTGACTAAAGATAAAAATGCATACAAGTATTTCGCTGTATAAAACAACCTGAGAAAAATCAAAAGATAAAAGCAATATGTACAGGAAATTGTATTCCAGTATTTATTTTATTCATTGTACCAATTTAAGAAAAAGTATACTTGTGAACTTTAAGAAGAATAAGATGCGAAATGTACAGGAATGATACATTAGTAGTTTAAGTATCAAAAAATATTTTAAACATATACAGAGTATATATATATATATATGGATGCATGCATGCATATTTTAGATAGGTCAAGTGTACGTGTTGAACATACTATCTCTGAGAGGTGATCGAGATTTTAAGGATTTAATTATATGAGAGCGATAAATAAAAGTGATCAAGGAACGAGAGCTTTATTCTTGGCATTATCATATATAAGCAAATAGGTAAAAATGAAGATATAAAAGTGAAAATCGTTAATAAATGGACATGTTGGGATAAATAAAGTGTTTTATGTAAGACAAATCAAAGATTTGTAGTAATCTAATTAGATTAAAGAATAATAATAGTAAAATGAACTATCAGAAAGATGACGAAGAGAAAACTAAACCAAAAGCTGGCATGAGAATGAATGATAAATGAAAGGATGCAGGAAGGTAAGAATCAGTGTTGCATAACCAAATAGTGTATAAACGAATATTTATAAAAATAATGAAGGAAGCATATAAATTAGTTATTTAAAAGGTCAAATAAAAATAAAAATGAGCTGGACAATAGAAGCTGAATATTCAAATAAGATCAGTTTAGATGAATCAGAACATCAATAATAATATGGCCTTATGGGAGAAAATCAAGGATGAACTTCTTAAGTCGCAGCTGGTCGAGATGTAGTACCTCCAGCCACCAATGCAGCGTTCCGAGCTTGAAAGCACCAGTGAGCTCGGTCTTCTGACCTAAGACCTTCCCAGCGTGTCAACAGTTGTTTGGCCAACCAATCTTGAGTGGGTGGGGCGCCGGCGTGCAAAGCCCGGTATTGACGCTTCAATGAGCCACCAATATGCCTGGCGAACAAACGGAAGGCAGTGCTGACTACTTCGTCATCCTCTTCCCCGCCCTCATCAAGAGTATCCTCATTTACTAATTCATCTCCCTCTGACTCATGGCGATATTGAGGCTGGTTTGATTTTTGCATTCGATCCGTCCCATCTGCTTTAAATTTATTTAAAATTGGCCTAGCTCTAATCTTCTCTTTTTGTCCACATGCAAGTCTATTATAGTCGGGACGAAAATCTAAAGGCAATCCGGAAGAAGTACCCGATTGGCTGTCCTTCCCATTTGAAGGGAGTTCGCATACATCATTAATAAATTGTCTGTTACAAGAGTCCTTCGGTTGACCTAACGATGTCAAAGATAAACGACTTCTGGAGGTCTGGAGAAACTCTGTGGAAGCTAGTTTCAAGGAAGTGGGGGGCCGAGATTGAGTAACCGCTGTCTGGATTTGACCGAGGCCAGCTGGCATT